AGGAGAAACGTGTGACTAGCAAAACCTCAGTTTCGCTTTAAAAATCTTCCGAGCCCATGACAATGGCACCTGTGTGCCAACGGAAACGTGTCTATGAAACCACAATACCCAAGTAACCAAAAACAATTACCTCATATTAACGAAGTTGCCCCACACAGCTGTAACAGAAAGAAAAAAAGAAGTAAATACTGAGGTCCACAACAGAGATTCCAACAGATAACATTTTACATTTTAACCAATATTTTAAAGTTTACTGAGAAAAATAAATTATGGTTCACGAAGACAATAAAACGCACACTTTGTTTTCAAAAGAAGTAAGTTCTACTAATTAGTAAGTGAAAGCAGGATCAATATGTTGATCTAAAGGACAAAAAGAAAATGGAGGCAAACTTAACACAAGAGGACTGCAGCCTTAGAGCACAGAGAGTGCCCTTAAATATATGCTCTGATCAGCAGCAGTGACAAGTGGGCTTTGAAAGGAAGAAGAGTCAGTTCCTAAGTTGTTTCATCGAGCATTTACATTCGACCTCATCTCTATAATAAATCAAAAAATCAGCCGGGCATGGTAGCGCACGCCTGTAATTCCGGCTACTCGGAAGGCGGAGGCGGAAGGATCGCCGGAGCCCAGCAGGTCGAGGCTGCGGTGGCCGGGAGTGACCGCTGCACTCCAGTCTGGGCGACAGAGTGAGACTCCAACTCAAAAAAAAAAAAAAAAAAAGAGACCTCATCTCTACAATAAAAATCAAAAAATCAGCCGGGCGTGGTAGCACATGCTTGTAATTCCGGCTACTCACAAGGCTGAAGTGGAAGGATTGCCGGAGCCCAGCAGGCGAGGCTGCGGTGGCCGGGAGCAGCCACTGCATTCCAGTCTGGGCAACCGAGTGAGACTCCAACTCAAAAATAAATAAATAAATAAATCAAATAAAAAATAAAAATAAAAGTTGCTTTTGTAACTATGATTTGTGAAAACCATTTCCGGACTCCATGACTGCTAGGAAATGGAAATTTAAGTTTTAACAAAAGCATGCATAAACAATGAGACAAAAAGCTCCTTCTGGGCTGAACAAATTCCAGTGGAGTCCAAGAGAAGAGAGTTGGCTAACCCTTCTTCCGTCGCAGTCAGGGTTGGATTATAACTCAAGTTTACTTTGAAGACACTATAGACCACGATCACTACCATTCATCAGGTGTATTTAAAAAAAAAAACAAACAAAAAAACAGGCCACGATGCCATGCCATAAAATAAGTCTAAGGAAATTCAGTCACACTGTTTTTCTCTGTTGGGTATATGAAAACATTTTCAAAAATTAAGTATAAAATTATCTCCCAAAACAGCTCCTGTTTGTTGGTGTCCCAAGTTTACACTTAATATGCCCATTGGCAAGACACTGATGGTAACTTAACTAAAAAAGAGGGTCTAGAAAATTAATCTTTGCCTCCCTGAAAAGTATTAGGAGTGAAAATGATTTCATCCAATCACTCTTCATATGTTGTGCGACAGTCTGGATGTTTGTCCTTCCCCACCCAAACCTCATGTTGAAATCTGACCCCCAGTATTGGAGGTGAGGCCTCGGGGTTTTCTGGGTCCTAGGGCAGATCCCTCATCTGTGGCTTGCTGCTGTCCTCATGTCATGAGTGAATTTTCGCTCCATTAGCTCCTCCAAGAGCTGATTGTTACAAAGAGCCTGGCCCCCACCCCATTTGCTTCTTTTCCCACCATGTGATCCACACACACCAGCTCCCCTTCGCCTTCTGCCATGAGTGGAAGCAGCCTGAAGCCCTCAGCAGATGCGGGCACAAGCACCATGCTTCCTGGACAGCCTGCAGAACCATGAGCACATATCTTTTCTTTGTAAATTACCCAGTCATGGGTATTCTTTTACAGCAACACAAATGGGCTAAGACACATTTTTAACAAAAATGAATGAGGATTCATTTGGCAAGAGCTTTTTTAGCAATAATGTAAAACAGCCAAATATTCCCTCTTTTACAATGTACTTTTCTCCACTGAAAATAATTATTGAAACCAAATTTACCTTTCTTGGGAAGAGACATTCTAATCAGACATCCTCTTCACTAGAATCATACCTGAGTCATTGACACTGCTGTTCCTCTTGGCATAAGCACTCCGGAGCACCTGCTCATACACCTGAGCACCAATTGTTCTCACGTTGTCCCGGATCAGAATGCCTTGGGCTTGCATCATGAAGAGGTAGGTGTTCACTGAAAAACAGAGAAAGGGGAAGGGAGAGGTGAATTCAGAAGGAACCATTAACAAATATACAAGATAACTATGGATTTATTTCTTCCTTTTAGACCTTTAAAGCCTCTTTCAGCTCTAAAACCCTACAAAGCCATAGCTGTGTTTTCCATGTCAAGTTCAATACTGTCAGGACACCAACATTCCTCGAGTAGCTGGTAGGGCTTAGAGAAATTTCTGTCAATATTCAGCAGTTTTAAAAAAGCCATAAACTTAAATTATATTCCACCTGGCCTACATATGCCCAATCTGTATTCCAGCATGGTGATGACCATAAAGACCTTTATGAATCAATTAAAACATTTTGTAAAAGGCTTCTGCTCTCTTTAAGTTCACTTCTCATTACTTGATGGCTGTACACAGAAAGAGGAAACCACCAACTCTCTGCCTAGTGGGAACACTTACGTTTAGACCTGGTCTTGGCAAACTTTCCAAAGTGGCAGGCTGAGGCTCAACCACTTTCCTTTGGAGGATTTGGAGAGAAAAAGAAGATACGTAAAGCACACGTGCAGTCCTCACTACCCACCCATCACAGACCGAATGTCAGAAGCACGGGGAAAGAGCAGGCGGCATGGCCCAAGTACCTGTTAAAATATGCTCTTAACAAACTAGTGTTCTGATGAAACAGCCAATCACTGTCTTCTTTGGAAGTGACCTCCACTTGGGTTTTCCTGAACTCTCTCTAGGATACAAAATTTGAAGGCTACGAACACGTTGGAACATAAGTCCTGTATTCCACTTGTAATTTCAAACAAAGCTATATAATCTGTTTCCGAGAAATCCTAAGAGTTGAAAACACAGGTTCTTAGCCAGTCAATCTAATTCCTCACTTCCCCCTCCATCACTGCGAAAGGGGGGGATGCCTTGCTTGCACGGTGGCACATTTACAAATCTGAACTCCGTGGATGTTTGGTGGCGGATTCTAAACACCTGCTAACCTCCAACCAGGACCCAGGCAGTGTGGCACCTAGTGCCTGGGCCAGTCCTCCACACGCAACATACCTGGCCCTGGGCTGTCAATTCAAGATATTCAACAAGATGTTTTGTTGACATGTTTCATCACTATTAAGGTGGCATCTTGTATATAATGGGCAGTAAATAATGACTGAATAGCCAGGCGTGGTGGCTCACACCTGTAAACCCAGTACTTTGGGAGGCGGAGGCAAGAGGACCACCTGAGCCCAGGGGGTTGAGACCAGCCTGGGCAACTTGGTGAGACCTCGTCTCTACAATAAATAAAAAAATTAGCCAGGCATGATGGCATGTACCTGTAGTTTTAGCTACTTGGAAGGATGAGGCGGAAAGACTGCCCAAGCCCAGCAGATGGAGGCTGCAGTAGCTGTGACAATGTCACTGCACTCCAGCCTGGGTAAAAGAGTGAACACCAATTCAAAAATAATAGTAATGATGACGGAATGGATGAAGCTGAGAAGTCAATGTATGTATTTCTAGTTAGTATGTTTGGTGCTCATACTGGTCGTGGTGATGAGGGTGGGAATAAACCAGCTGGCACAATGTTGAAAGCTCCACGTGGCCGACATCTAGCAGGGACAGAAAAACTTTCAAAAGATTTCAGAACATCTTGAAAGTATACCCCAAGTCACAACATAATGAGCAAAAAGCACCAACGTTCAGAATGCCTTCAGAAATGAAGCACTGGCTTCAAATAAGGCCATGCATTGCCAGGAAGACAACCACATGCTTAACCTCCAGCACTGTCAGAGAACAGATCCAATATCAGGGTTATTCTCTAGCAGCTAGAAAACATTTTACAGGAAAAAAGATAGCTTCAAACTCCCTAAAAAGTATAATTCTGCGAGGCCTCTGAAAACAAGAATAACATCTCACTTTCTATTTCTAGTACATTAGCACAGTGCCAGTCATAGTAGGTGGGCAGTCAGTCCACAAATACTTGGTAAGTGTAAGCTTTTAACTTCATCTAATGTCAAATTTCTAATTTAGTCTAGTGGTGTTTTTGCCATTTGGGCTATATAATATGTCCCCACTGCCCTGAAATCTTCCCTTCATCCCCAATGAACTACTGAAAGGGGTGTCTTCATTAATGCAAAAACAAGTATTTGGTGAACCTCAAGTGTCAAGCCTGTGGTTAGCTGCAAAGAATTCACCACCTCTTTTTGGCTGTGCTGCAAAGAACACAGTTGCTTTGCCCCTCCTTTGAATACTCTCCATTTCTTAGCTTAGGGCAGTCTTTCTCGAACTTTCTCCACCTATTCCGCAGAGAGCTTTTGGGATCCTGCTTCCTAGCCACTCCCAGAGACTGACTGTCCAGCATGTCTAAGTGGGGCCCATGAACTTACGCTTGCAACAAGTTCACGGTGATACCAAATACTGCTGGTCTAGAAACCACACTTCTGAAACAGCTGCTCTAGGGAACTTCGCAACATCTTAAGAACGTAAGCAACATTTATTGAGCACTTAATTACATCACTCTTTATTTCCTTTAATTCTCATAATCATCCTAAGAGGCAAGTGATACCCTCCCATTTGCAGTCACAATCCAGGCTTCCGTTTCTCCAAGTATCTTCACAAAGCTCAAGAACTGGACTCTGAACCAGGTTGTCTGTGCTCTTACCCACGACGCTTTCGTATCTCGCCCATCCACATTCTCACCACAATCTCTCCCTCAAAGATTTCTAGCACCCACACGGCTTACATGAGATTACTCCTAAGGAGACAGCTCTCAAATCTTCATCTACTGTACCACGCTGCCAGGTGGATCTTTCTTAACTGGAGAGTGATCCTCACTGCTCCTGCTCCAACATTTGTTGTGTCTCTGGCCCTCATCCCTGAGCTGCTACTGAGCTGCACTGGGTCTGCTCTTGTGCCGTGCGAATATTCCTGGCCTTCCATCCCCACTTCATATGGTTCTTGAGGAAGCCTTCAGTCCTGTGCAGTTCTCTTTCTTGAATGTCCCTGATAGTCTGTTACAGACTCTCAGTGTGGCTTTTGTTCACATGTTGTCTTATTTGCTAACTATCGTCTCATGTGTTAGTCTTGTCATTCAACTAACAGATTCACATATTAACATACAACAAATTCACATATTCACAAATTCATATACAACTAACAAAAGAACACATATTATTTGGGGTTTTTTTTCTAATTATTCCCAAGAAGTAGCACAATGCTGAAATAATAAACTGAGGAAGCACATATTGCCAAACAAAAGGAAATATTCACAACCTCATGGGCTTTGGATTAGATGGGATTTTAAAGAACACTCTTCAATTCCATCTACTGCTTCCACAATTATCTACCCAGAAGCGATGTCACGAACACAGAATCAATATGCCAAGTACAGCCATCCACAAAGAAAATCCTACTTTGGTTGTGTCCACAATGTTTCCCAGTCACTTGTGCCCACTGGCTGTCTTTCAGCCACGCCTGCCCCACCTGTGACATCTCACAGCTTCACTCCCAGAGGGGGCTGCTCACTCTGAGCACTGACCCAGTGGTCTACACTTGACAAAGATGCCCGTGCTGACAGAGCGGTCCAGGTGCAGTCAGATGGCCCTAAAACAAGCAAAACCACCAGCAGCCCTGTTCCATCTGTGACCACAGATCTGTCAATACAAATCCTCTTTTGAGGATTCACAACACCTGATCACTCAAGGTCCAGATGAGACATCCAGTTATCATCACCATGTCCCCAAACCAGCACTTTCTCCCCCTAATACCAACTAGTTAATAGTTAATATCAAGTGAATCTCTGCAGAACTCACTTGGGAAATTCTGTTTTGGATATTTCTATTAGTAGAATTTCAAACTTCCATTGCATGGTTAGGTGTTCAAGTGGTATTTGCTGAATATTGTTGGTAAACAGCCATCACACTGTATTACTGATTCATACGAAGTTTGCTGGAGGCACACTCCCCATCATCGTATTAGAAATGCCGCCAAGTTGCCCTTGTATTTGGTGCTCATGCAGTTGGTTACATAGATCACAACGAAGGTCCTCGCAAGCGCCTCTATCAGAAGTCTCGTAAGGCCAGGCCCATGGCTCTTGGCCTAAACCAGGAAGTGTATGTAGATACACGTTCTTTTCTATCTAAATTCTCACTTAAAATTCACATCTCTGTGATGCAGACATCATCCTGACTTTTTTTTATTTCAGATACGTCAAGACCTCCAGCAGTAACATGCTCAAAGTCACACAGGTTAGTGAGGTCAAGACCAGAGAGGTATTAGATGAGCTTTACGCTGAAAATTCTGAAAGGGGGTACTTTCCAGTAATACGGTCCTGGCCAATGGTTGAACCACAGTTTAACAAACTATTTTAAATTGGCACAGTTGTTAAATCCTCCATTGTCTCAACAAGTATTTACTGAGCAGCTAACTTATTGCCAGTTTTTTTGGCACAGTACTACTGGGGGCTAGGGATAAGTAAGACAGCACAGAATAAGATACAGACACAACTGAACAAATCGTAATGCAGTGAGATAAATGCTAAAACAACATTTAACATAAAGTCAGGCTTACTTATCACTTTCTTACACTTTCATGAGACACTAAATAATTATTATACCGCCTCAGCAACAAGACTGAGTGATCGCTTAAACTCTAACTCAGCTAGGAAAATAAGCCCCATTCAGGTCCACAAGCTTGGAAATTTCCATCCAGATGCCAAGGCGGGTGACCTCGGGCCATGGCTTCACTGGAGAGTTTCCGGGAGCAAAGCACGGAGTCTCCTGCCCTTTGGCCACCTCTTGGTCACACAACAGAGCCCTACTTCCTCTCTGTACTTGGTTCTAACAGGAAAACATACTCTTCCCTATTAAAATTCCAGTCAGCCTCTATATTTGTCAATCAGGAAACCCAATTTCTACTTGAACGCACGCAATGTTAATGATGATGACTCACAAAAATTCCTCAGGAGATAATGAAATCTGACTTTCCAGATCAGGAACAAAATTAATGGACACTGAGCCCAAGAAGAAAGAAACAAGATCCAAGACTCTATACACTCTGGAGTTCACAGCTGTATCCTAAAC